GGAATGAGGATATCCGAGGTAAAGTAGGAGTAGCCGAAATTGTAGGAAAGATGAGAGAAAATCGGCTCCGGTGATTTTGAACATGTGCAAAGAAGGCCGACTGACGCTCCGGTTCGAAGATGTGACTACGGGACAGAGGTTCAGGGCCGAAGGGGTAGAGGAAGACCTAGGACAACTTTGGAAGAGACTCTAAGAAAAGACTTAGAGTACTTGGATCTAACGGAGGACATGACACAAAACCGAGCGCAATGGCGTTCTAGGATTCATATAGCCGACCCCACTTAGTGGGAAAAGGCTTTGTTGTTGTTGTTGTTGTTTTATCTTATTATCTCTATTAAAAAATTAATATAAAATATTAACGTGACTTAACCGTGACCGCACAAAATAAGAGGGTATGGAAGGGCATCACAACTAGGAGGGCAGACAATTTGCCTCCGTGGAAAAGGTAAAGAATGCAAATGGCAAAGGAAGTTAGTGCAAAAAATATACAGAAGAAGTTGATGGCATTTGACTCTTAGCAAAAATTAATGGGGACAAACTAGAAAATCAACGAAACTTACAGAAGTAACCTAACCTACCTAGCTACCAACTCCTACATGGTCTTATCTTAGAATTGAACTTGGCTACTGAAAAATAAGCAGCAACTCTTGCTGTTGGCTACTTACAAATTGACACATGTCCAAGTAATTGATTTTTTAATCATAAATTAAACACATGTTCATCTGTGATTGACTAGCAGCAGAAACTGGTGCTAATTTTTTCAGCAGCCAAGTTCTGTCCCTTATCTTATCTATTAATTAACAGTAATTAATTAAGTTTATTAATTAAGTCTGTAAAGTGTTACAACCATTGACATGTTTGTTGAGAACTTGAGCTAAGTATCTAATGATGTTTAATGTACTTATTAAGTCCTCCACTTAATACCTTAAGTGATGACCACTTGACGACTCACTGAGTGTTTCAAGTTTGCATCATCATGAGTGTAAGCAAGCAATATGCAACGGTGGATACATGCTAGTTTTTTCTTCCTGTTTAAGCCTAAAGATCACCTTGCCAGAAGAACAAATATACATTCAAAGATTGCGTTATGCTAAACGCTTACATAACCTCATGATATTCACAATAAACTCGCATTTACTTACGTACCACTGCCTAAAAATTGTTTGAAAATTTTGGGTAAAGAAAATCCAACTCCCAGCCGTTGTTTCTTACTTTTTGTATCCTCAATCCAAATCAAGATTAAAGCAAGCTTGACGTGATGTTTTAGTACCTAATGCTCACACTGAACAACAGATATGACGATGTGTGGCTAGCTACTCTTTGGAGTGAAATTCAATTACTAACAATTCACAACTTCTTTTGCTTTTGTGCCAACTTCTTTTTTCCTTCAATTAATGGAGGAAAAAAAAAAAACATGTTGCTGACCTAGGTGTGACTACATTGGCTAGAGCATACGTACTCAATACTCCCTTACGCATTTGGATTCGAAATTTCTTCCTCAACTTAAGATTAAAGTAGTATGTCCACCTTTAAAAAATAATATTAATCTTTTATGAAATGTTTTTTTTTTTATTTTAGATTATTAGATATATCTCAAACTTTGACGGGCTTCTCTTGGCCAACAAACAAAACTAACTTTTCATACTGTGATGAGAAAAGGGATGGGTTTCCCTTGGTCTATCAGAAACTTGCCATGCCTGTCTGTATTTTTCTTCATAATTCCTTGAATAGGTCCACCAGAAATAAAAACTAAAAAAAATGGAAATTGGCTTTTGCTTCAAGAATTATATACCTTTTCATGCCCATAATGTTGAATCTCAACTTCCTTGTCCCGAAAGTTACACATTTTTACTCTTGATATTAATCATTTGGGTTCACCTAATCACCCATAACAAGTGGCTTAACACATGTATGACATGTGTGACGTTGTGGTCTAAACAAATTTAATAATCACTCACTGTTGGATCTGATCTAATGGTGGATGCTAACACTGCACCAATAACCATTTTTGTTTGATTTTATTGAAAGTAATTCCTTAGATTACATCCAAATGTAAGTGAACAAGAAACTTCTTGGTCACGACATCCAAATGAACGTGACTGATGATGATGTGTGGTACACTTAAGTAGGAGAGGTCACAAGTTGTTCGTCCATATCTATGCTATCTTACATTGACGTAACAAAAGCTTTTTTTTGGAACAAAGACATCTGATATGTATGAAAAGCTTTTGTCCACCACAATCATATCGCTTACATACACAGCCAAGTATTGGATAAGCTGCTCTCTGAACTTTTTCAAGTGAGCATACTTTCTCTAAGTAACCTCATGATATTGCATCCATCACCGTTACCAAAGTTATTTTTAAGGAGATTAATTAGTATTTTAAATGATTAATCATATGGAGTTACAATGCACTAACCAAGAAGCATTACGAGATTTCTGTGCTAAAGTTTGGGAATCAGAAGAAGTTCATACTTGAGCTCATTCAACCCTTGTCCAAAACATGTTGAAAGCTCCTTCACAGTGATTTCCTCTCCATCCGTGGCACTATCATAGCTAGCCTGAAGAATGCCAAGTGGCTTTCAGTTCGGGCCTCATTGCTTTGATTTTTTTAGAGATTGGATCTATGATTTGAATTCGAAGTACAAACTTTATAATAGGAACAAGGTGGCAGAGGCTTTTTAAACTTGTTTTTTATTGAGAAGGCAAACATTAAAAGTGTGACCGAGGGTTTGAGGGTGAGTATCACTACTAATACTTGGACTTCGATCCGAAATACAAATTACATGGTTGTCACTAGCTATTTTTTGGACAATAATTGGACATTGCATAAGAGGATCCTAAACTTTGTCCAAATTACGTTTCACAAGGATGATGGCATTGGGAGGTGTCTAGAGGTATGCTTGAAGGATTGGGGCATAGATAAAGTATTTAGCATTACCATTGACAATGCTAGTGCAAATGACACTGTTATTGCATACATAAAGAGAAGGTTAAAGTCAAATGGTACCGTTTTACTTGACGGGGCTCACTTGCACATGAGATGTGCTTGTCACGTCCTCAATTTGAACTTTCAAGTTTGAACAAACAATTTTAAATTCATTTGAAAGTTTGGTTTGTAACTTAATTTTTTAACTTTGGGTTTGCAACTTAATTAATTAATTTTTTTTTAATTAAGTAGTTGGCTAGTATAGTCTATAGAGATAGTAATTGCTAATGATACATTGATACTAATGATGACCATGATTTGGTAGGAGTTTGTTAGTAAAAAATTATAAGTTATGTAAAGAATTGTGGTGATAAAATAAAATTGGTACGAATTGAGCTAACCAAACTGGTATGAATTGGGCTTGAATTAGTTACACTTCCAGAAGCAGAAAAAATTAGACTGACCAAATTTCAACCCAAAATCTAGATCAAATAAAAAAGCCCAACAAATTGGGCTTGAAGGCGCAATCCCGATCCAAATCAAAAAAACCGAAATTTTTTGGTATTTTACCGAATTTCAGAAAAACCGAAATTTTCGTTTGGTTTTCAAAATCCCGTACCAAAACTTTTTAGTTTGGTTTTTGGTTCAGTATTCTAAAACGAACCAGCCCTAGCTCTACTCATGGAATGAGGCAACTCGAACTCGGATGTCTTTGCTTGGGTGTAAAGAGACTTGTGTGACAATTATGGCATTTGCCTAATGAAATTTGCATCATTGGGGAGTAGGCTGTTTGCCAATGTTCAATGGGCTTCTAGCTTTAAAACCCCACAATTCGTTTTGTTTTCGGCTTTTGGCTTTTGAGAATGCTTGCATGTCATGGATTGGTTATTGATTTGTTCTCACTTCTCATGACGATTCCAATGTTTCATTACATAGAGCTCATGATTGCATATCATGGGTTCCCAATCATAAAAGCTTAACACATACGATAAGATTGCTCCCACTTTGTCAAGGTGTTTTCTTTTTTCAATAGCAATCAACCTTCATTTATTTATTTGAGAAAATCTTTGAATTAGTCTTTGAATTTTTTTACACTAGTTCATAATTGATCATTGAACTAAAAATTTGTTAAACAAGCTTGCTGAACTTAACAAAATATGCGCTATTCGGTGGCAAAGTCTAATTCCAATACACATTCTGTTTGGAAGTGCTTTTAAAATAACTAAAAGTATTTTTAACTCAAAAGTTAGAAGTGTTTATGAGTTCAAAAAAGCACCTGAAATGCCTTATGGAAGAAGCACTTGTTGTGTTTTTTTTTTTTTTAAGAAGCACTTCCAAGTGTTCTTTCTTGAAAACACTTGCATTTCAATATGCTTCTGGTATAAACGTTTTTACTGAAAGTGATTTCAAAGGAGCAATCTAAACGAGCTCAAAGACCTCAATTAATAAACCTTTTGTTTAAGAATCAAATCTAAACTAGAGTGAAAGTTCAAGAATCAATTTTAAATTTTATCATATTGACGAAAGAGAAAATGAACACAAATCATTGAGAACAAGAGCAAATGTTACTAATTATTTGAGTTACAAGGTCATTGCAAACAACGACAAGTTCATTTGTAATTTGAATATAACACGGCAAAAGAAAAACTAAACACCAAACCACAATACAAGAATAAATGCTCTTAACAAAGAAAAATGATTAGTGAGCAAACTAACCATCAATAAAACTTGATAATATCATCCTCGACTTTCAAAAAAAGAGATTGAAATTTAAAAAATGACTAGAGTGGGTCAAATAAGCAAAGGAGAATCTCCAAAAGGAGAAATTTTTAGTTGTGATGGGAACACGGATGATACATCACGTATTTCTATGTAAGTGGTTGAAAATTTTAATTTTTAAGTTATTAACATTATAACACACATATTACATAATTTATATAGATATACGTAATGTATTACTTCGTGTGACAATCACACTGAAAAATCTATCCCCCAAAAGAAGCCCCATAAATTATTCAAGATCATCAAATGGGCTCAATACACAAGCCCTGGTTAAATATAAATAAACACAATGACCTTCAAATCAAATAAAAAACTCACCAAAAAAATTCACAAACACTTCCAAACACACAAAAACAAATAATGAAGAGAGACAGACAGACCAGAAAAACCCCAAACCACCACCACCAAGACCAGAAAATCAACACAATGGAGAACGGTCACGATTGGAAAATCGTGGAGAAATTCTCAGGGTTGACGGTTTCCACCGCCGACCCAATTGCTTCTTCTACCCCCACCACCGCCACCACCACCGCAGACAATCAAGACAGCAGCTTGCTTCAAGTTATGTACGCCATGGAAGCTGCGGAGGCCACAATCAAGCAGCAGGTGGAAGACAACATTCGGTTGCGGGCTCAGCTCGAACACAAGATTCTCGAGCTGCACAGGTACAAGCTCCACGAATCCATGGCCGCCCAGTTGCCGCCTTCCGCCCGCGAATCTCTGGACCAAGCTCATCAGGTAGCTGCCCCCGGCGTCGACAATCGAATCGAGAGGATTGCGAATCACGGTTCGTCACAGCAGAGTCGTGGGGAATCGGAAACAAGGGAGACCCAGTTGAGCGGCAGCGAAATCAATGAAGGAATGAAGGTGGTTCGGGTTTCGGGTACTCCGACGGCGGCTGATAACGCAAGCAACGTGATATCGAGATTGTCATCGCCGTCTACGATGACGTCTCTTTCACCAGGCAGGTCGAGCACGGGGGGTGATTACGGAAATGGGTTGATGCCATTGACCGAGTCGAATAACCCTAATAGCAGCATGTTGAAGAAGGATCTGGTTGTTAGGATTCATGAGCACGATCAGGAAATTATGCAATTGCGGAAGCATTTGGCGGATTATTCGATCAAAGAGGCGCAAATTCGGAACGAAAAGTATGTGCTGGAGAAGCGCATTGCTTACATGCGTTTGGCATTTGATCAGCAGCAGCAGGACCTTGTGGATGCTGCATCAAAGTCTCTGTCCTACAGGCAAGACATAATTGAGGAGAACATTCGGCTCGCTTACGCCGTGCAGGATGCGCAGCAGGAGAGATCGACTTTTGTTTCGTCTTTGCTGCCGATTCTGGCTGAGTACTCGTTGCAGCCACCTGTCCCCGATGCACAATCGATTGTTGAGAGTGTGAAGGTTTTGTTTAGGTATATGAAGGAGAAGTTGCTTCTTACTGAGTCCAAATTGAAAGAGTTGCAGTATCAGTTAACGCCTTGGCGATCAGATACAAATCAGCAGCCGAGTAAAGTTAATGTTTCTGCGCCGCAGTTATCACCACCGCCGCCACCACCACCACAGTCCGTTGCTGGAGCAGCATTGCTGAATGTAAGCAGAAATGGGCTTGAAATAGTTGCTCAGAATCAGCAAGCATATTCTTACATTGGTGGAAGCAAGGCGCTTGCTACCTCCGATGCGCAGACAACTGCGGAATGGAATCCTCATCAGCAGAGTGGTTTTGGTGGCGGTGTCGCCAACAATGTGGAACACAATGACCTGGTCATGGGGAATGCATATCACCCTGTTCCAAACCGGACTTTTGTAGCCCAATATGTGCCTCCAACTCATGCTGTTACTCAAGTAAATCGGTTTAATGAAGTAACGAGTAATAGACAGGTGACATTTCGTGATCCTGTCAGGAACACACAGAGAGAGATGGATGATCAAGATGCAGAGGGAAACCACAATGAGAGAGACTCGTCCAATTGGAGTGCAGGAACGTCTCCTTACGCATCACCGCTCAATGAATCCAGCTCCCCATATCCCCGTTACTTAACGCCAGTTATTGAAGAGGGCTCTTCTTCATACTCAGAAGCTGCAGATGATGATCCATTACCAGCTATCGAGGGCCTCCAAATCTCGGGTGAAGCTTTTCCAGGACACAAGCTTCAGGCATCTGGATACTCCACCAACGGAACAACCAGTTGCAACTTTGAGTGGGTAAGACATCTCCAAGACGGATCAGTTAACTACATTGACGGAGCAAAGGAACCGAACTACCTTGTAACTGCTGATGATGTCGATGCATACCTTGCGATCGAAGTCCAGCCTCTGGACAACAGGAAGCGAAAGGGGGCGCCCGTAAAGGTGTTTGCCAACGAGAACAAGAAGATCACTTGCGACCCCGAAATGCAATCACAGATAGAGAAGATTCTTCACAAGGGCCAAGCCTCGTTCAAAATACTTCAGTTCACCGAATACCACGACGTATGGGAACCTGCAACACTGGCCATAAAGCGGGGAGCTTACAGCATAAAGTGTAGTGGAGGGCCGAGTGGAAGCGGAGCTGTAGTTGCAGAGAAGTTTTCTTCAAACACAATTGTCAGAATCCCATATGGAAGTCCAACAGAATTCATAATACTCAGCAGCTCCGAAAACGGAGGTGAGTATATGTTGAAAACGGACAGTGAGAGCTGTTCTAGAGATACAGCAGTGCTCACATTGAGATTGTTTGTTCATAGGGCAGATAAGAGGACTAGAAAGAAAGGGAAAATAGGGACTTACTTTTTCAACAAGTATTTGTAGTAGGTGTTCCTTTAGGCTCAGAATTCAGCAGGGGTGTCTCTTGTTATTTGCTTTTAGGGTAGTTTGGGTGTCCTTTACATAATTTTTGGGGTGTGCAGTTGAAATTTTAATTTTTCTCACTACCTTTTTGAGCAACTTTTTTGTGTGATATTTATGGCCCAAAGAATTAGAAGAGAACTAAAAAGATAAATTATTTACAAGTTTCCGAAGCTGCATTCAGAAACCATTTCAATCTTACAATGTTATGAACAATACCTTGAATAAATTACACGGCACAAGATGTGCGATTAGTTGATTCTTATCGAGCCTCCGGGACTGTTACGGTTGAGTCGTAGGTAGCAGATGATTCGGTCTTACTCGAAGATGAATATGCTTCAGGTAAATTTTTTCCACCAAAGAAGCCTGGTTGTTTGGGTTCCGGCAAGCGGGAGTCGTTGCCCAACATCAGAATCACAGATGACATGGTTGGTCTGTCCTCAGGAAGCTGCTGCACGCATAAAAGACCAACATGTATGCAACGCACGACTTCCGACAGAGTGAGTGAGTCCCTTAAGGATTCGTCGATCAACTCTAGATATCTCCCGGTTTTCCACAGCCTCCATGCCTAAGGCACACGATTAGTTTGTCAGTGACGAGATCAAACACCGGTAAATGAGGAAGTCGATGGTGCATACTTACATATCCAATGAGGTTGAGGTTGTCGTCCGGATCATAAAACCCTCTACTTCTCTTCCCGCTGACTAGCTCCATCAACAAAATTCCAAAGCTGAACACGTCTGATTTTACAGAGAATTGACCATCAATTGCGTATTCTGGTGCCATGTAACCACTAAAGTATTGGCAAGAAACAAAACACATCGATTAAGAAACTATTAGATGATACGTAGAGATGTAATGCAATAAGAAAGAAAACTAAGAACTAAGAATCCGTAGATAGTAAGCAGAGATGTTATGCATACTTACTAGGTTCCGACCACTTTTCTTGTCACGCCTTCAGTCTGGTCTCCTCCGAACATTCTAGCCAAGCCGAAGTCTGAGATTTTTGGGTTCATCTCCATATCAAGTAAAACATTACTTGCTTTAAGATCTCTATGAATAATCCTCAATCTGGAATCTTGGTGCAGATAGAGAAGACCCCTGCCGATCCCACAGATAATGCGAAAGCGTTGCGGCCATTCCAACAGTTTACTTTGAGTCTCATCTGGTAAGTTTTAATTCATGTTACTCAAATTTTGACTCTTATAAGACAAATTCAATAGTTTTAGAACGAAAAGAATAACTGCAACAAAGTAGTTTCAACACTACATAGTAAGTTTTAAGGATTCGAACCGAAAATGTAGAGGTCCAAGCTTTTGTTAGGCAAGTATTCATAAATCAACAATCTCTCTTCTCCTTCAACGCAACAACCGAGAAGCCTTACAAGATTCCGGTGCTGAAGTTTAGCGATCAGTGATACCTCATTTTTGAACTCATTCGATCCTTGCCCCGATACTTCTGAGAGCCTCTTCACAGCAATTTCTTGCCCATCTTCTAGTCTACCCTGAAAATTTGTATTAGAATAAGGATTGCGAAGTTTTGAAAGGAAAAGGTAGTGTTTCATTGTTGTTTACAGTTATTGTGCTCACAGAAAGGAACTTTACCTTGTACACAGATCCAAACCCACCTTCTCCAAGCTTCCTGTTGAATGCAAAGTTATCAGTGGCGGTGACTAGTGTGGAGAGACTGAATAGCGGTAGCTCCAGGTTGTCTTGTCCTTCGTTGTTGTTCCTCATTCTATCTAATATAAAGAGAAAAGATAAAGAACGTCAACTTGTGAAGGAGAAGAAAAAATCATCACAACCTATACAACGTAAATCTTCTGTTTTTGAATCATGTAGGCTGTAGTCATGCATTCATAAGGTCACTCTTCCACTCATTACTCAGGTAACTAAACCTATACAACAAATTACTACAAATTTAAGGAGCAGCACTTGATGCCTCGGTATCTGACTTGCGATGCCTCGAAACATTTCTGGGTAAGTTCTTCTTTTTAATGATTGCGTGGAATGTAATTCATGGCGTACGTACTAGTTTCACCATGCCAGCTTCAAAATCCAGTGACTTGACATGGTATCAATTATGGAAATACAATCTAAAGCATTGAAACTTGAAGTAAATGATTGAGAATACATCAAAGGTATTCTGGCTTAGGATATTGGGATGCAGAGTGAATGTGAAAAATCTAACCTTATAGTACCAAATTGAAAAACCGAAAAGGCGATATGACCATAGTATTACAAGTTTGAAGGTGGTGAGGGAAGAAGTACTTGCCTTTGAACTTTCTTCTCTTTCTGTGAATGAAATAAACAGCCAAGAGTGTCCCGGCAACAACGACAGCAACTGACACAAGTATCACTGCTAACTTTGTCTTCGGCGAATTCGATTCTTCATAGTTCATTCCAACAGGGAAAACCAACCATTGTTAAATCACAGCAGAATGACAATCATTGGAAGAACACAAAACCGTGGAAACAATTAAAAGTTTACGAAAAACAATGGATTCATCAGGCAATATACAACAATCGACTAAAGATTGAGCCCCTTAATCCACCTAAGTTTATTATTGATGAGAAAAAGGAAAATCTGTTGCACGCATACTTGATTCCGAAGCAGTTCGGATGTACAGATCCTCCCCGCCATCCAAAAGCTCTTTGCTGTTGAGAAGGTCACCAAACCAGGTGGTGCAGCCACTTCCTCCTCCTGCGGCATTGGAGCTAACTGCGTAAGCCACACAAGAACAATTGCTCAAGCAATTGTCCCCGCATTCCGCGCGACCCGAACTTTGGTTGGTCAGGGAATTTGTGTTATCTGGCAATTTCACCCCACTATATTTCACAAACCCATGTTTCTTTAGGCAGCTCAAGGGTTGAGCCCGCACGCAACCTTCTTGGAAGTCTCCATAGCTCCATTTATCTGGTGCTCTCGGCTCGTATCCTTGGAAGCAACTGCAAACTGGGGATTTAGTGATAAAACATAGTCCATTGGAGCCGCAACGTCGGTTATCGTCGCAGTAATCTCTCGAAGTTGATGTCAATAGACTCCTATCAGGCTGATAGTCAAAACTTTGCCACATGTAGTTTCTTGGGTTTCCATCTTTTGCTTCTCTCAGGACAAGATTGCCGGAATCCAAGAGCTGCAAGACCGGATTCCGGGGATATTTGGATAAAGATATCGACCAGGCAACAGTGTTGTCCTGACTTAGAAGGACAACACTGTCTGAGGTGTTTATCATCAAAAAACCAGATGAACCATTGATGGGGTTGTGCTGGTTTGCAACCCAAATAACATTTGGGACTGATGGGACCGAACTGTTGTGCCAAATTCCCAAGAAGCGCTTCTGGGAAAAGCCAAAACCTGGGGGACCGAAAAACCCCATTTGAAAGCTGCCGTCTTTGGAAATCAAGGTGCTGCCATCTATGAGGGGTTGGGATTTTTGAGTAATGGCATCAGCTGCAAGTGAGGGTTTGAAGAAGGAGAGGGACAACTGAATTCCAAAAAAAATGAAAGAAAAAACAATATGATTTTCCATTGCTTTCAAGTTGCAGAAGCTCTGTGAGTTAGGTAGATACATTAACATTCACAAATTACAATAAAATAAACTTTTATATGCTGCAATTGACCGTCACCCGCACGATTTCTGATTTCACGTGGGCCCACATCGATGATACATTCAGTTAATGGCTGGCCTAATAAATGGAAACTAGAGGGTGTGGAGTCTTTCAAAAAAAAAAAAAACTAGAGGGTGTGGGGTCACACGACTGAGTACTTAATATTCTCAACAAAGTACGGCTACAAAATCTGGCGTATCCAACATTTCAAATCAAAATAGAATTTATAGATTGAAAAAAAAAAGGAGAGAGGAAGACGTGAAGAATGTTTTGTGGATGACTGAAATGTTTTAGTATTTGGGTCATCTCTAATGGAATGGTGATCAGATGGCTCGTTTTAGTTTTATGTTCCTTCAAAAAATTATATTTTAATTAACAGTATAAGATCATATTTGCCTCTATTTCCAACCGATGGCCAAATGGTCATAAGGCTCGTTTTAGTCTGTCACAAAAAACAGTCTCTAACCGAGGGTCATAGAGCGAAACATAATTTATTATTTAAAACTACAAATTAAATTCAAATCCAATGACTAAGTGGCGTCAGCTAGCCATTGGTAGCTGACGTCATCTAGCCATTGGATTTGAATTTTTTTTTTTTTTGCTATAAATAGGGTGGATATTGGGCTATAATTCACACAACAGCTAAGTTTTATATTGTATAATTTTTATGTTGGTTAATGGTATTTAATGTTGTTTCATATTGTTTAATGTTGTTTCATGTTACTTAATTTAATTTAATGTTGTATAATGGCTTAGGAAGTTATAGGAAAAAAATAGAATTTAAAAAATATGAAATAAATTTTGTAAAACAGAAGTTATAGGAAAAAAAATAGAATTTAGAAAAAAATATAAAACAAAATTTGTAAAATAGAAGTTATAGAAAAATAAAGAAGTTATAGGAAAAAAATTGTGTAAAATAAATAAAACTGTAAAAAAAAATAAAAAATAACGGCTAGATGACGTCAGCTAGCCGTTGCATTTGAAATTTGGCCTAGAATTCCTGTCGTTGGATAGGGCTAGCCAATTGGCCCTTTGGCCCTTTCAGATTTTGTGGGGCCCACGATCCCTCTAGCCTAGCCCTTGGTAGGAGACGGTTTTCGGGCTATTTTCGGCCCTCTGAACCCTTCAGTTGGAGATGACCTTAACACGTTCAAATATCACAAGTTGATCGTAACTCTGACACAAAAAGAGCTTAAAAATTCTAAACTCATTCTGCCTAACGCTGAGGTCTTTTTGATAAAATTTCACACCTGACAGATTGTGCATGTGGTAATTACCGAGTTAAAGACAATATCATTGTTATTAGAAGCGGACTTTATAATTTGACGTAACATAATATACTTTATCATTTTTAATCTGAAAGTTTGTTTTTCTGCTTGGACTTATGTTATGTAACATGAAATAAATGTAAGTTCTATTATTTATCGAGTAAAAGTGTTTTGGAATAATAAGGAGATTAACATTAGCTATGTGGAATGGCTTATCAGAAATTGTATAATTAGGATAATAGCCTCAAGCAATCTCGATAGAACTAGGACTTTATTATATGATATGTTTATTAGAGTTTTTACGGTGATAAAGATCGTTTGATAAGGATTGCATAATGGGAAGTGTCCTTATTGAACTCTATCGTTTATAGTATAAAGCTAGGGTCCATGCGCTCTCACAAGTACACAAGCTTTCAAATACTCAAGCCCCATTGATTGAGCCTTGTTTCCAGTAGTGCAGAGTTGCAGAAGAACCCTTTAACTCAAGCAATAATGTCTTCATCTGGTGAGTGGTTAATTTGCTATCATGATTTAGTTTTTCATAAATTATATACTTATAGTTGGTATCAGAGCCTTCACATATCATCTTAATCCTATGTTGGAGGCATCGAGAATTTTTTTTTTCTTTTTCTTATTGCTATGCATGTTACAAAACTGGTTACATATTATCTTGGGAAAACATACACGAGCATGTGATGGCTAAAGCCATTCTTATTCATGTGGGTTTTTTCATCTTAATACATATACCAGAAATGGCACTTGAACATTAATCGTGAACGTTGATCCTCTAAAGAAGTTAAGATGTTCATATTTAGTTTTTGAGTGGCATATCATTTTGACAACCAATACATGAACACAACTATCATTGTCAGATCATAAAAACCTATAATCATAGTTAAAGAAATTCATGTATGAGCTGCAAAAGTGATATGAACAAAGAAAATATTCACAGCTTTCATCAATCTAAAGAATGTTGATTTTTGTGATATATGGTTTAGGGATAAAGATTAATATTCGACAGTTTTATGCTTTGACAGCCATGAATCCTAGCTCTATGAACCTCAACATTATCGAACCACTTACTGGTATCAACTATAAGAAATGGAAATAGGATCTAGAGATCATGCTAGGAGTCATGGATTGGGATTTAGCACTCAGAACTGTAGAGCCTCATATGCTGATAAATGGGAGCACATCCAACCAACAGTCCAAGTATGAAAAATGGCAAAAATCAAATAGGATTTCCCTGATGATTATCAAGAGGAGTATGATTGATGTGGTTCGTGGTGGCTTCCCTGATGCTACCAATGCCAAGGACTTTCTTGCGTCCATCGAAGAAAAGTACAAGGAGTCTAAAAAAACAGAGACGGTAATCTCATGAACTCACTTACCACCATGAGATATGATGGCATTAAGAGCGTACGTGAATGTATTTTAGAATGATGGATGTTGCTGGAAAGCTTAGGGCTCTCGAGGTACCTATATCTGAAACATTCATTGTGCATGTGATAATGAACTCACTACCTGATAGCTACACTCAACTGAAAGTATCTTATAATGCTTTGAGTGAAAAATGGGATGTGAATGAGTTAATTGCTATATGTGTAAGTGAAGAAGAAAGGATGAAAAAGGAGAAGTATGAAAAGGAAAAGGTTGAGTCTGTCAATCTCGTGCATGGTGCCTATAAAGCACATTAACCTTCGGCTGTTAATGTTACCAGAAAAGATACTACCAAAAGGGCTCCATCTCCTACCAAAAGGAACTTTAAAGCTAACAAACCAGTGATTTTCAAATGCTATTTTGGCAAGAAAACATGTCATATGAAGAGAAATTGCCCAAAATATAATATAAGGCTTGGCTTGCTGAACAAGAGTCAAAGAAAGGAAAAAATATTTTTGCGTATTTTGAGTCAAATTTAATTGATATACCTAGCACTGCATGGTGGCTTAACTCATGCTCTTCTATTCATGTTACGAATTCATTGCAGGACTTCATAACAAGGAGAACACCAAATAAAGATGAAGTCAAAGTCTATGTTGGCAATGGAAGAAGAGTTGAAGTTAAAGCTTTAGGAAGTATTAAGGCTAAAATTAGAATTTGGTTTTCGTTTAGAATTGGAAAATGTCGTTTATGTACCTTCTATGAGAAGGAAGTTGATGTCAGTTTCAAAGCTAGTTATGTTGGGATTTTATTTTACTATTAATAATATTATCTTCAACATTTTTTGTAAATCATCTCAAATTTGTTTTGGTTTCTTGAGTGTTGGAATGTTCCAAATAAAGTTAAACTTTGACGAACACGTTTTTAACATCCAAAATGGAAACACCAAAACTCAATCTTCAAACCAATGGCATAAGAGACTTGGCCATATTTCAAAACAAATAATGGAATTGCTTGTTAAAAATGACATTTTACCATCTTTGAATTTTAATGACTTTGATTTTTGTGTGGATTGCATCAAAGGTAAAATGACAAATAGTAGGAAAGAAGGATCAACTAGAAGTGAACAAGTCATAGAAATCATTCACACAGACATTTGTGATCATTTTCCAATGCCTACAATGGAAGGAAACAAGTACTTTGTAACCTTTACTGAGAAATCCAATGCTTTTGAAAATTTCAAAATTTTTAAGAATGAAGTTGAAAATAATTGGAAAAGAAAATAAAGATCGTTAGGTCTAATAGGGATGGAGAATATTATGGTAGATATACTCAAACTGGTAGACATCCTAGAGCTTTTGCACTATTCTTGTAAGAACATGGGATTGTAGCTCAATACACTACACCTGGAACCCCCGAGCAAAATGGGGTTGCAGAAAGAAGAAACAGGACCTTAATGGACATGGTAAGAAGCTTGATATGTAGAGCTAATTTGCCAAGTTCTTTGTAGGGAGAAGCAATGAAGACTGCAAATTATATCTTAAATAGGGTGCCATCGAAATCTGTTAAGGGTACTTCTATTGAGTTGTGGACATGGAGAAAACCCAGCTTGAACCATCTTCACATTTAGGGTTGTAGAGTAGAAGCAAAAGTTTATAGTCCTAACAACAAAAAGCTCGATCCCAAGACCATCAGTTGTTTTTTCGTAAGGTATGCAGAAAGGTCAAAAGGTTTCAAAATTTATTGTTATGAATTCATTGCAGGACTTCATAACAAGGAGAACACCAAATAAAGATGAAGTCAAAGTCTATGTTGGCAATGGAAGAAGAGTTGAAGTTAAAGCTTTAGGAAGTATTAAGGCTAAAATTAGAATTTGGTTTTCGTTTAGAATTGGAAAATGTCGTTTATGTACCTTCTATGAGAAGGAAGTTGATGTCAGTTTCAAAGCTAGTTATGTTGGGATTTTATTTTACTATTAATAATATTATCTTCAACATTTTTTGTAAATCATCTCAAATTTGTTTTGGTTTCTTGAGTGTTGGAATGTTCCAAATAAAGTTAAACTTTGACGAACACGTTTTTAACATCCAAAATGGAAACACCAAAACTCAATCTTCAAACCAATGGCATAAGAGACTTGGCCATATTTCAAAACAAATAATGGAATTGCTTGTTAAAAATGACATTTTACCATCTTTGAATTTTAATGACTTTGATTTTTGTGTGGATTGCATCAAAGGTAAAATGACAAATAGTAGGAAAGAAGGATCAACTAGAAGTGAACAAGTCATAGAAATCATTCACACAGACATTTGTGATCATTTTCCAATGCCTACAATGGAAGGAAACAAGTACTTTGTAACCTTTACTGAGAAATCCAATGCTTTTGAAAATTTCAAAATTTTTAAGAATGAAGTTGAAAATAATTGGAAAAGAAAATAAAGATCGTTAGGTCTAATAGGGATGGAGAATATTATGGTAGATATACTCAAACTGGTAGACATCCTAGAGCTTTTGCACTATTCTTGTAAGAACATGGGATTGTAGCTCAATACACTACACCTGGAACCCCCGAGCAAAATGGGGTTGCAGAAAGAAGAAACAGGGCCTTAATGGACATGGTAAGAAGCTTGATATGTAGAGCTAATTTGCCAAGTTCTTTGTAGGGAGAAGCAATGAAGACTGCAAATTATATCTTAAATAGGGTGCCATCGAAATCTGTTAAGGGTACTTCTATTGAGTTGTGGACATGGAGAAAACCCAGCTTGAACCATCTTCACATTTAGGGTTGTAGAGTAGAAGCAAAAGTTTATAGTCCTAACAACAAAAAGCTCGATCCCAAGACCATCAGTTGTTTTTTTTTTCGTAAGGTATGCAGAAAGGTCAAAAGGTTTCAAAATTTATTGTTATGAATTCATTGCAGGACTTCATAACAAGGAGAACACCAAATAAAGATGAAGTCAAAGTCTATGTTGGCAATGGAAGAAGAGTTGAAGTTAAAGCTTTAGGAAGTATTAAGGCTAAAATTAGAATTTGGTTTTCGTTTAGAATTGGAAAATGTCGTTTATGTACCTTCTATGAGAAGGAAGTTGATGTCAGTTTCAAAGCTAGTTATGTTGGGATTTTATTTTACTATTAATAATATTATCTTCAACATTTTTTGTAAATCATCTCAAATTTGTTTTGGTTTCTTGAGTGTTGGAATGTTCCAAATAAAGTTAAACTTTGACGAACACGTTTTTAACATCCAAAATGGAAACACCAAAACTCAATCTTCAAACCAATGGCATAAGAGACTTGGCCATATTTCAAAACAAATAATGGAATTGCTTGTTAAAAATGACATTTTACCATCTTTGAATTTTAATGACTTTGATTTTTGTGTGGATTGCATCAAAGGTAAAATGACAAATAGTAGGAAAGAAGGATCAACTAGAAGTGAACAAGTCATAGAAATCATTCACACAGACATTTGTGATCATTTTCCAATGCCTACAATGGAAGGAAACAAGTACTTTGTAACCTTTACTGAGAAATCCAATGCTTTTGAAAATTTCAAAATTTTTAAGAATGAAGTTGAAAATAATTGGAAAAGAAAATAAAGATCGTTAGGTCTAATAGGGATGGAGAATATTATGGTAGATATACTCAAACTGGTAGACATCCTAGAGCTTTTGCACTATTCTTGTAAGAACATGGGATTGTAGCTCAATACACTACACCTGGAACCCCCGAGCAAAATGGGGTTGCAGAAAGAAGAAACAGGGCCTTAATGGACATGGTAAGAAGCTTGATATGTAGAGCTAATTTGCCAAGTTCTTTGTAGGGAGAAGCAATGAAGACTGCAAATTATATCTTAAATAGGGTGCCATCGAAATCTGTTAAGGGTACTTCTATTGAGTTGTGGACATGGAGAAAACCCAGCTTGAACCATCTTCACATTTAGGGTTGTAGAGTAGAAGCAAAAGTTTATAGTCCTAACAACAAAAAGCTCGATCCCAAGACCATCAGTTGTTTTTTCGTAAGGTATGCAGAAAGGTCAAAAGGTTTCAAAATTTATTGTCCTAATTACACTTCCAAAATAGTTGAAGCTGGCAAGGCAATATTCTTAAAGCATGACACCGATATTGGTCCTGGGACTGAGGTAAGTGTAGTAGCTCCACTTCTTAAAATTATTGGACACATGGAGGATAGTGAAATTGATGCAAGTGATGAAGATCACGAGGTTGATGCAACAGTTCTAGAAGTGGTAAATAATGATCAAGTTATCACAACAATTGAGGCAGTAGCAACCACTATGGATCAACAACATCAAATACAAGAAGGCAACATCAACATCATCACTAATCTCAGAAAATCAACTAGGGTTAGGAAACCTACAACTGTAGAAGATTTTGTATACTTGGCTGAGAGTGACATTGATTTATCAGAATTTAATGATCCTATAAGTTTTAAAGAAGCAATCTCAAGGCCAAATGCTGACAAGTGGATAAAAGCAATGAATAGTGAGCTGACCTCAATGGAAAACAATCGTGTATGGGAATTAGTTGAATAGACAGAAGGAATGAAACTTGTAATACCCTAAAAAATTTAAGTATATGAATTGGATATTCATAATTATGGATATGTGGGGAAAAATCGAAAATAAATCTATTTATGGTTATGAAAACTTAATTGGGAGATTTTAAAATTTTGTTACTGGAAACTATTATAATTTACGTTGTAAAATTTATTGATAAGGAAAAAAGATGAAAATGCCCTAGTTGGTTTAACGTAATTATACGAGAACATATTTTATTGTATTTCTTGATATATTTGGATAGAACTCGACCCTACGAAAATATAGACGAAAACCATTTGTGAATCGGAGTTGAAACAAAGAAATTAAAGGTTTATAAAAAAATTGAAGAGGAGTCTAGAAGCTGCCAGATGGCAGCATGAGGGAGAAGAAAGAAAGGAGGGAGGTGCGTGAGAGATGGAAGAGAAGGCAGTGGCTGCCCAATCAGAAAACAAAGGAAAGAAATAGAGGGGAGGAAATGCAGGGGATCCAACCAGAAACCCAGCAAAAACAAACCGGGTCACTGTGACCCGCGACCCGACCAACGGAAAGGAAGTTTGCCGATGCCTTTTACGGCGTTTTCTCCTGTGAATTGAAGCCACACATCACCTAGAATTGACCTAGCATCCCTTACCCTTCCAATTTCATAAAAAAAAACCGAGTTAATTGGGCCTTAATTCGTGATGAAATTCCTAGCGGGTTCTTGAGGTGCACAACGGCGATTTGCCATTTCCGAAGCCAACTCCATTGATTACCACCATTAATAGGCTCCCTTCAACCTCAGGAACATTCTGAACAAATTACGGCTAGAAAATTTGGCATATTCAACCATTCAAATCAAAATAGAATTTATAGATTGAAAAAAAGAAGAGAGGAAGATGAGAACAATTGGTGGATGACTGAAACGATAAATATTTAACACGTTGAAATATCATACGTCGACCGTAATTCTCACAAAAGAAGAGCTTAAAAATTCTAAACTCACTCCACCTAATGCCTTTTTGATAAAAACTCACACTTGACAGATTGTGCAGGTAGTAATTACTGAGTTAAAAACAATACAGCTGTTTTTAGAAGTAGACTTTATAATTTGACATGACATATTATACTTTATAATTTTTAATTTGGAAGTTTGTTTTTCCGGTTGGACTTGTATAACATGTGATAAACACTATCGAATTGATGATAAATCGAATGATCCTTAACGAGCCTTCTTAAATAAGAAACAATCTTTGTTGAGTAAATCATCTTATTGGAACAAACGAGCCGTACTGATTAAGACTACTTTGTATATTATCAATTGTTTTTATAGTGGAATCTTAATTTTTTTTTTCACATAACATACATGTGCTACATGTCACAATCTTGGCTTGTCCTCAGGAAAGGCAAACAAAGAATCATATGGATGCATTATGCATATCACAGTACTCGTTCGGTAGAGTGCAGGAATTCCCGAACCCTTCATGAATATGTTCTAGTAGTCTTCCTTCGTTCCTTCACGAGTTATTTAGGCTACTGAAATTAACGGTTCATGCATGCTACATGAACAGATTTGCTAATTCGTTGCAGAGATTATCGTTATAACCCGGCCCAGATACCAAGTACAGTGAAAATGGTACTGGTTATTTTAATATTGATCAGTACATTGTTGCAGGTAGAAAATGGCATTTATCCCCTCCAAACAAGAAGTTTCATAAAGGACTAGTTTAACTAGGATACCGGAGGATTTAGGGTTTCTATATAATGTATGATAAACAACACTGAATAGATATATATGATCAACGAGCCTCGAGCTCTGTAATGGTTAATCCATTACATGACGGATTGATCACTCCATCAAGTAAACCCTTTTCTGGAACAAATCCTGGTTCTTTAGGCTGAGGCAAAGCACTTTCGCTGCATAGCATCTGAACAACTGATGACATGGTTGGCCGGTCCTCAGGTTGCTGTTGCACACACAAGAGACTGACGTGAATGCATCGCAGCACCTCTGATAGAGTGCATGAGTTCCCAAGCCCTTTATCAATCAGTTCTAGTGGCCTTCCTTCTTTCCACAATCTCCATGCCTAAAACAGATGTTAGTCATTTTTACAAGTAACCAATTGTTTTGGCATGCAGAATGAAACGAAATTGTGCTTTAACATACTGTTGTAACTTACATTTCCGATAAGATTAAGCCGGTGGTTCAGATGATAGAACCCCTTACTTTTCTTACCGCTAATTATCTCCAGCAGTAAAATACCGAAGCTAAAGACATCAGATTTTACAGAGAACTGCCCTTCGGTAGCATATTCAGGTGCCATGTAACCACTACAGAATAAATCATTTAACAACCTGAGCGTGTTAAATGCAAAAAACAAAAAAAAGAACAAATAATGTATACTATGCGAAGAAAGTGTCAAAAATACTTACTATGTTCCAACCACTCTGTTTGTATTTCCCTCAATTTGATCCCCACCAAAAGTTTTAGCAAGACCAAAATCTGAGATTTTCGGGTTCATATCTCTATCGAGTAAAACATTACTTGGTTTGAGGTCTCTGTGTATAATTCTCAGTCTGGAGTCTTGATGAAGATAGAGAAGCCCCCTAGCAATCCCGCAGATAATTTGAAAGCGCTGAGGCCAATCCAACAACTTGCTCCGTATTTCATCTGGAAAATTGTAAATTTCAACTCATAAACTACCAGAATCGCAAAGAAAATAAAGTCCAACAAGAAACAGAATTTTAAGGGAACATACCGAAAAGGAAGTAGTCCAAGCTTTTGTTGGGCATGTACTCATAAATCAGCAATTTCTCCTCTCCCTGAATGCAACATCCAAGAAGCTTCACAAGATTTCGGTGTTGAAGTTTGGCAATCAGTATTACTTCATTTTTGAACTCCTTCATTCCTTGTCCAGAACTTCTCGAAAGCCTCTTGACCGCGATTTCCTGTCCATCTACTAGTCTACCCTGAAGATAGTCACGTTTTCCAAAAAATTGTTACGTCCTTGAGGAACCAAGTGCTTCCTTAACTTACTTTTCTTGTGCTAGCAGACCGAAAATTACCTTGTATACAGGTCCAAAACCACCTTCTCCAAGCTTATTGTTGATCGAAAAGTAATTAGTGGCAGTCTCGATTGTTGGCAAGTCGAACAATGGCAGCTCCAGGTCATCTTCCTTCCGTTCTTCAATCTCCTCATCTTATATAATCATTAAAAAGTAACAACAATAAGTGATAATAAACTAGTGATTCTATATATAATATCAAAAAAAAATCTTTCAGGAATTTGTATCACTACCTTTGACATCTTTCTTGCCTCTGAATCGTAGAATGTAACAATAGCCAACTAAGAGCATCCCAACAATTACAGCAGATGCGGATGCAGCTATCACTCCTACCTTCCATTTCTCGTCTTTCCCTCCTTTGTAGATTAATCGAGACATTATAACATACGTAGTTGAACACCAGACAAAATTAGACATTTAAGCAGAAAGGGATGGTAAGTTCCTACTGATCAAATTGGACAAGTAAAGAAAAAAACACAATAGACGAATTGTAATTGAGTTTATACCTAGTTCTGAAGCAGATATCCTGATGTACAGATCCTGATCACCACCGGGAATTTGCTTAATATCAACAAGATCATCAAACCAGATTGCGCAACCGCTGCCTCCTCCTCTCACATCCAAGTGCGTATAAGCCGAACAGGAACAGTTCGATAAGCATTTCGCCCTGCATTCATCGAGGTTCATGCTTTTATTTATCCAACTATGCGTAGTATCCGGCAATTTCAACCCGTAATACTTAGCAAACCCATCGTTCTTGCAGCTCAACGGTTTTCTCCTCACGCAACCTTGTGAAAAATCGCTCAGTTTCCACTTCTCTAGCGACGCAGGAACGAACCTCTCCAAACATTGACAAATTGGCGATGACCCAAGAACACAATTGCCATTGCCACCACAGTGGCCATAACTGTCGCAAGGGTCTCTCGGAAACGATCCGTAGAGTGTCCAATTCTGATCTACCTGTGACCAAATCCACTGCTGGCGAAACGACGTGGTTTGGTTCATCAACATCCGTCCAAGCAACGACTCGTTCACCATCTGAAATATCATGTAAACCTCATCCTCATTGGAAACAAAAGTGAAGTTCAAAGCCGGAAGGGCCTTGGGGGGTCTTCCGCTGAACAAAACACCGTTCCATGGACCGCTTCTCAAGAACTCATTAGACCCTTTCCACATAACAGGCTCAGGATAGTTGTGCAGCACCATCTCCCATATAAAGTCCCCTGGAGAAGGGTCGTCCGGACTCTTCCATGCTGTTACACGCCGGTTAAGTCCGGTTTTCAAGTCCCACCCGAGCTTCATTCCCGGCAGTAAAGTATCAGAAGGGTAGTCAAAGCTTTGCCACAAGTAGATCCCTGAGTTAGCATCTCCCTCGTCTCTCAGGACAAGATTGCCATTGTCTAACAGCTGCAGGACAGGACTCTGGCTGTTGGCTTGTTTTGACGAATTCACAGACCAAATAACTGTCTGGTTGTTCTCGAGAAGGACGAGATGCCCTGTGGTGTTGATCGTCAAACTCCCGGTGGAACCATTGATTGGAGACTGCCTATTAGCAACCCAAACAACGGTTTGGACTGGGATATTTTTGTACCAGATTCCCAAGTAACGAGACTTGGAAATGCCTGGACTGAAAAAACCAAGCTCGAAAATTCCGCCGGGAGATGAAACCAACGACTTGCCATCGCTGAGGGACTGAGATGCAGTGATGGTGTCAGCAGCTGATGAAGTTTGGCTCAGAGAGAAGAGCAAGCAAATGCTGAAAACCATGAAACAGAGGAGCTCCATCGAATACTAGATTACTGCTTAAAGGTTCAAGTATTGATAGTATTTGATGGAGGATTAGGAGGGCAAAGACTTTGAATTAAAGGCAGTTCACTCGGCTGTATCAGACATTGAATTGGATCACAGCTTTTGTTTTTTCCTCTTTTCTTACTATGAAGATTTGGTACTGAAAATGCGGATGTACATACGATTTGATTACGGATTAGTAAATACGCTTTTAATGGAGGGTTTTTCTATCGTGAGTTTAATTGCATTTTTTCGAAGATGCATCTCAATATTATTGAATTATTATTAAATATTGATTAACGTATTTATTTTATATTATGATATATTTAATAAATTTATAAATTTAATCTTAAAAATTAATTTACATAACTTTTATATAATTATTTATATGTAATGGACAAACTTGACTAGTGCATTTAACTGCAGTGTGAAAAGAATATTTTAGTGGGAAGTTAGAAACTTTGATGAGGCTTTCAAATTGGAATGAGAAACGTGGACTAAGAGCAAGTCCACCCCTAAGGACTTTGTGCCAGCACCCAGCCCATTTATCCACTTCAGTGAATAGTAATAGACTCCAATGAACAATAATAGGCCAATGCATCTCCACCCCTAACAAAAAATAGCTTAGTTAATTTTATTAAAATATTATTATTTTTATTATAAAATAATAAAAATAATTATTATAAAGTTGGGCTTACATAAAAAAGGAACAAACTTTGACCGGAAAGAAAAAAGGAAGGATCTTTCGCGGCGGGAAGCGGGAAGAAGATCATGGGACGTGCTGGAGAGCATGCTAGAGGGCGTGTTGGAGGGCGGCGACAAGTTTCGAGGGCGTGCTGGAGGGCGGCAACGCTATCGACCCGTGTGAAGGCATCGAAGAAGATCACGGGACGGGAAGGAGACGTCGGGGAGGAGGACTCCACGGTGTTGCTGTGGCTACTGGTGTCAGCTAGGCGTCACTTGAGCCGGTCCCAAGGTCTGTCGATTTTAGGCTGGCCTGTGGACTGGCTTGTGTGGGGTGCCAGTCGATTCCACGGGCTGGAGTGGATTGGTCGAGTCTCAGCCTATTTTTTCCACTGGGTGCCGGCCTATCCCACCCCCAGTGGACTTGCTCTAAAACACAACTTCGAGGAAGAAAGCAGTCTTAATTTACATCCTTACAAGTCGAAAACAGTTTTGGGCCAAAACTTGAAGTCAATAAAGCATGTATTAAAAACATTGTCATTAGGACAGCTATCCATCGTCCTGATTAATTTTTAAGCATTTGAAAATTAAGAAATAGTGTCTTGACCTCCTTAAGCGTTCGTCTAGCCGTTAGGCCCTAGAACCCAACTTATCGCCCAACTAAAGCCTATCATCTTTTAGAACCTTTTTATTATTATTATTATTATTATTATTATTATTATTATTATTATTTTCTATATGCATAGAAATTCATCAAATCAAAGTATGAAACTTCTAGTATAACCGTTTTCTAATACAATCAAAATTAAAGGCAAGAAGAGCAACATTAGTAGAAAATTTTCATTGTGACGGAAACATAGGTGGTACACCATGTGTTTCTATATAAGTGGTGGGAAATTGTATTTTTTAAGTTATTAACTTTTTAGCACACATATTCCATCATTGGTATAGTGACACGTGGTGTACCACCCCATGTTCCAGTTACATTGAAAAATATTTCCAACATTAGGTAAACAGAAATCCCAAAAATAAAGATTCGAGAAGAAAATACCAAAATAAGCTAAAGCATCCGCAACAAAACTTGTAGATAGAGTCAAATCTCTTAGCCAACAAGCTTCTAGAAATTACACCAGTTAATGGCGTGCATATTTGATCAAAGTCCATCTAATGACAAATTTAATCACATCAATTTATTTTAACTTGAGTGAGCAAGTTCACTGGGTGAATATAACCTTAATGTTTCTTTGAACCTCGAAACATTGTAAGCCAATTTGTCAAAACATAATTCAATATCTGACATAGTCGCAAATACGCCATGCCAAATAAAATAGCAGCTCTCGGCCAATCATAATGCTATTTCTTATTCTTCTTTCCTCCTCTAAGCTTGGTTCAAATATCACAGATTAATTGTATTTATCTATATATATAAATGATTTTTTTTAGGGAACTTTAACGAAAAGTTTCTTATACTGTTTACTTTAACGAAAAACCATATTTTTACACTAAAAAGTCAATCATGGTACTATTCACTTTATCCTTTATTTTGTCCTTATCGTTAAAACTCAAAGTTTTCAAGCTATTTTCATTAGTTTTTTTTTTTTTTTCTTATAATCAACTTGTATCACATATTAATGGGTTTTGCTTGAAGGTATATTTTATTTCTGTACCTTTTGAGTTAGGTTTCATATCTCTCTTATATGTATTTATCCATTCATGTATTTGTTCATTGAATTAAGTGGGTTTATGTTAGTACATATTCTTTAAGGAAATGGATCCCCAACTTTTAAAAAAAAATGAGAATTAGTTGTAGGGCACACACCACATCGAACGTCAACGATCTAAACTGTCTATTTTTCAAGTTGCACCTCATAAATCATCCTTACAAAATATTAGCCAAATCAAAAATATTTGAGACATCTAATTGAGTTCAGAAAAATTGACGAATACTAGGTGTGGTGGTAAAAATTTGCCATCTTTAGTCCTGACGAATTTGTACCTACAAAACAATTAAGACTTTTGATCAAAGACCAAAACCCCACACACCCACGAGGAAGGGAGTGGTTTGGCCAATGGATCTATGATGCCTAAGTCAGTATCTTTAAGAAGAGTGAGTGTTTGGGGCTTGTATGTGTAACAAAAAGCTTATCAAAATTTGGTGGAGATGAAGGTATTTATAGGAGGAGGTGGTCGGCCATGGGGTTAGGGGTTTACCCCATATGTGGCAGCATCATTTTGGTCAAGGTGTGTCTGTTGGATGAATGAGGAAAAAATATTCCAAAGATATTAATTAGGAGATAATATCTTGGGATAATGATGGAAACATCCATGATTGACTGTGGTAGAGATTCCGTACTTTATGGAATTGATCTTCAATTATGAATGTATTAAAGATAGGATTTAGGGATTAAAGATAGGATTTAGTGATTAGTCCTATCTTTAATGCCTTTGACTTTTCTATGTCATGAGCATGGGAGCCTTGAGTAGTCGTAGTTAGCTATTCGGACCTTCAAGGATGCTGAGCTGCGCGTGAGAATATTTGAGAGCCCTGCCCATTTAATGAGGGCAATCTTGTCTTTCTTGAGAAAAAGTCCACGTGTCATCTTTTGAATTTTTGGGATTATTTTTTTGCTCCACAAATACCCCCACACTTGCGGGGATGTGAGCAAAAAATGGCAGTAGGATCATTGTTCTAAAATTCCTAGCCTAACTCCGCCTAGGCACTAGGCGGTTGGCCACCGCCCCGATTAATGCCTTAGTGCTTGAAAATTTAGAAAGGATGCCTAAACCTGTTGAGGTGCCTACCTAGCCCAGCCAAACCTACCTAGGTTGCGACTCATTTAGATAGAAAATAGATAACTTTCATTTTGCATTATTATTATTATTATTTTAATAAATTGTAAGAGACTTGCTGAATACTTAAATGAACATACATTATATGTTTGCTCCCCATGTTTTCATTATGTTTCAATACTTTATAATATATAGGGTAAAGGGAAAATTAGGTTCACATCCTTCTTTTTGTTACTCCATTGATTAAAATTCTATTCATTTTCAATTTTTTATTAAGGTCCTTGGGTATTAATAACATCATTAATTATTTGAATAATAAAATATTTTTATTTTTAAATATACTCCTTTAATGTTAAAAATGTAACAATTAGTATATTTATATTTATGGCTAAATTTTTTATCATATATTTTTATTCTTAGTTTGTACCTATTTTTAATTTGCAAATATTTTTTAATTTGTACCAATTTTCTTTTCATTTTTAGTTTGTACTCATATATTAGTTTATTTTTGTGCCCATATTTTTTAAAGTCTTAGTCCAGTCATGAAAAATCATGATCCTACATGTAGCATATCAAAATATATAATGGATGTTGCTACTAATTAAAAATGTTTTAGGTACATGATGGCGCTAAAAAACCTATAGATATAAACCATCTGATTGTCAACATGCGGTTGACAAATTTTGCGGCAAAATGCAGTTAACAACATTATAATTATACTATTTTTGTGGGAAGTTGAAAACCTTGATGAGGCTTTCAAATTGCAATGAGAAACGTGGACTAAAAGCGGTTGAGGATATTTCCAAAAAAAGAAAAGAAAAAAAGAAGTGGTTGACAAAGCCACTTAATATTATGGTGTAGTGGTATTCCTCTTCATTTGTAAGTGAGAGGTCTTAGGTTCGATTCTTGCTAAAGAAAAATTTGAACCATATTATTGTTAGCCCGTTGTGATACTAAGTCTACTTGCTCTTCTTTAGTATAAAAAATATCGTTTGCTAAAAAAAAGTGGTTGAGGAAGAAAACGATTCTCCAGATTTTGGTCAATGTGTTAGTTTACATCCTCACAAGTCACAAACAACCCGTGTTTTGCTATCCACCCTAAACCTCGAGGTATGCTCATCATATACTTAATCATTTGTTATGTGTTATTTCACTTAATTTTGATTAATTTTGTTCAAAATTAAAAAAATTAAAATTTAATATGAAAGTTAACCATAGTTTGTTGAAAAAACACATAATAAATAATTAGATAAATAATAAACATACACCATAAGTTATGATAGTGAGCAAAAGTGCTCTCCTTTTAATAAGGTAATTCGAAGAAATCCCAAAAGTGGTTTGTTTGGGTTGTCAAATTGGCAATAACTGCCACGTATTTATTTTAAGATAATATTTAGATACTCATTAAAAAAATTTATGTTCTCACTTTTTTATTTAATTCAATAAAAAATCATATTTTTTTATATTTTGAATAGTTTTAAAAAATTAAATAACATATCTATTATTTTTTATATCTCTCATAGAGCAGTGAAGTTAGTTGGTTGAAGGGAGAATTATTTTTTTTTGTTTTTGGTCAAATGAAAGGACAATTGTTAAATTATTAATAGTTGATTTCTTTATCGAGTGTAAATCTTGATTTACTCAGTGGACTACTTGTACGATTTGTCCTTGTTCTGAAACAATTCTTAATTCAATTTT